TGTTGGGGGCAATATGCTGACTCTCTGTAAACCGCTTAGAGAGGGCTGAAAGCCCTATGAAGCGGTATATAAGTCTACTGCTATTGCTATTCTGCTTTCTTAAATGTTCCATGTTTCTCTAACTTGTGTTCTTTTTGATACTAAATAGAGTTTTTAAAAGGGAAATCCCAGGCCTGTGCTGGGGACAAAAAAACTCCAACCCACTGAAGACAGCATTGGCAAACCATCCCAAGAAACTGTGAGTTCAGATGGAGGACAATTTATCTTGATGAAAAGCATAAATGGTTCCAACTAACTTTAATTTACCCCTTGAAGGAAATACCACAACTTGCTGCCCCAGGCAGCTATTTTCCACTGTTCCCCTCTCCCAAACTCTTCTTCCAAGTTTCTAGCATCTCTGTGCCGCAATGTGTTTTTGAGGTTCACAAACGCTTTGATAGTTGATCTGTCCATTATGAAAATGGACATAAATTGCAATATGGAAAATGCCCCCCTCTATAAGAGGAGGTCAATCTTCCCATTGCATAGCCTAAGTCAGAGAAAGAGGTGAAGGGTCTATACACTGGTTTCCCAAAGAATCAGATTTAATACACAGCTGTCCCTGGAATTCTACCTTAACCACTTCTTAGCTTTTCTACTATAAAACTCCCAATCGGATATGCCAGTTGAGCTGGTTCCAATGTAGCCTGCCAGAAGAAACTTGATACATCTGCATTTCTTGCTTTGCACCCAAAGACCCGTTGGACACCTCTTTACTCATAGTTTCTCATTGCTGCCATGCTTCCACCCACACCAGCTACTTTGATTTCCACCCTGTTTCAGCTGGAAGGGAAAAAAAAATGCTACAAAATTGTTTGCTTGAAAATGCCAACTGACTCAGCCTAATTCGCTGAAGACTCACAAGGAAGATGCACTGATCTGCTAGTTTCTGAAGACACAACAATGGCCTTCTGTGAGCATTCAAATGCTGCTTTTCTTAGCGTTAATCTAACATGCTAGGAGAACATTTTACCACTGCATAGATCAATACAACAAAAGCGTGAACGTCATAAGCGCGCCGACAAAACCACGGCGCTAAAACCGCAATGTCAAAAGCGCGTCGACAACAGCGCGCCGACAACAGTGCGCCGACAGAAGTGCGATTTAAGTTAAGGTAAGGTTT